TCTTCTTCTTCTTCTTCTTCTTCTTCTTCTTCTTCTTCTTCTTCTTCTTCTTCTTCTTCTTCTTCTTCTTCTTCTTCTTCTTCTTCTTCTTCTTCTTCTTCTTCTTCTTCTTCTTCTTCTTCTTCTTCTTCTTCTTCTTCTCTTCCCCCCTCCCACTCCCCCTCCTTTAATCCTGTTCCTCTTTTCATTGTAGGATTCTGGAGTGGTATCGCTTGAACGCCATAGTGTGTGCTACGTAGATGCTGGTATTTACAGCCTCAGATATTCCATCTATCCGTCGATTGAGTGGTGTACCTCTAGTTCCACTTCCGTTAAGTGTCAGTGACACTGCTCTCTGTGGTGCACCATTTGATGGTAGTCTTGACGTATGTCCGAATCATTTGATATTTGTCTCTTAATGTAGCTGAGTACAGGTTCCGTCCCAACACCTTTCCATATATGGTCATTTCTGATGGTTTCTCTCCTGGTTACATTTATGATTCGTCGTTGAGATTTAAACGAGTTTTCAGTTTTGTTGTTGTTGTTATTGTTGCTAATGTCCACGTTTGTCACTGATAAAATCATTGTCATCATCATCATGTGTGTGCCTTTAGAGGTCACATATGGCACGCATTCGATTTCTCCACATCGCTTTGTTGCATGCAACGTTCTGGATTTCTGACGTGGAGTTCAGCCCAGCATTTTGTTTTCGCCTCTCGTAATACTATTCTTCTTAATGTTTCCCGTGGAAGTTCTCTCTCTACCTCTCTCTCTCTCTCTAGCTCTCTCTCTCTACCTCTCTCTCTCTATACCCATCTCTCTCTCCCTCTCTTGTATGTGTGTATGCCTGTATTACGAATGTATGTATGTTTGTATCTATGTATGCTTGTTTGTATGTATGTATGCCTGTGTGTATGCCTGTTTGCATGTTTGTTTGTATGTATGTACGTATGTAAGTATGTATGTATGTATGTAATGTTTGCATGCATGTATGTGCGTTTGAGTGGGTGATCGTGTGTATGTGGGTGTATGTATGCACGCGCAGGTTTTTGCATGCACTTTACAACTCATGCTTTTGTGTTCTTTTATAATATTCATAATATGCATAACATCATATGATCATAACATGCTTTATTAGTAAAAATACAACTGCTGTGCGAAAGATGGTTGACTGGAAGGGCCGAATGTAAGACGGACCTGCGTGCCCAATTTGTGACCCTTTGAAAATAAAGTTCGTTCGTTCGTTCGTTCTCTCTATCTCTACCTCTCTCTCTCTACCTATCTCTACCATTACCTCTCTCTCTCTATACCTCTCTCTACCTCACTCTCTACCTCTCTCTCTACTTCTCTCTCTCTACCTATCTCTCTCTAACTCTCTCTCTGTGCCTCTCTCTCTCTACCTCTCTCTCTCTACCTGTCTCTGGGTGTCTGTATGTCTGTCTGCGTGAGTGTATGTGTCAGCATGTGTCTGTCTATCTGTGCATGTCTATGTGTGTTTCTCTGTGTGTGTTGTGTGTGCCCCTTTGTTGTCTGTATGTGTCTGCATGTCAGAGTATATGTCTGTGCGTGCTGAATATATGTGTCTGCGTGTGTATTTCTATGTGTTTGTATGTGTATGCATTTCTGCGTGTTTGTCTCTGTGGGTGTCAGTATGTGTTTGTCTGCCTGTTTGTCTGTATTTGTGTGTGTGTGTGTTTGACTGCGTGTGTGTCTATGTGGCTGTATGTATGTGTCTGCATGTTTGTCTGCGTATGTGTGGTGGGTGTGTCAGTGTGTGAGCACGAATGTAAATATGTGTGCTGTGTGTTTCCCTGTGTGTGTTTATATGTAAATGTCTGTGTGTGTCTGTATTTTTGTCTGAGTGTGTGTGTCTCAGTGGGAGTGTCCGTGCGTGCATGTGTGTGTCTCCATGCATGACTGTATTTATGACTGTATGTGTGTATGCCTGTATTACGTATGTTTGTATGAATGTATGTATGTATGCCTGTATGTTTGTGTCTATGTATGTATGTATGTTTGTGTGTACGTATGCCTGTGTGTATGTGTGTATGCATGTTTGTATGTATGTGTGTATGTATGTATGTAATGTATGCATGCATGTTTGTGTGTGTAAGTGATTGGATGAGCGTGTGTATGTGGGTGTATGTATGCACGCGCGGGTTTTTGCATGCACTTTACAACTCATGCTTTTGTGTTCTTTTATAATATTCATAATATGCATAACATCATATGATCATAACATGCTTTATTAGTAAAATACAACTGCTGTGCGAAAGATGGTTGACTGGAAGGGCCGAATGTAAGTCGGGCCTGCGTGCCCAATTTGTGACCCTTTGAAAATAAAGTTCGTTCGTTCGTTCGTTCTCTCTCTACCCCTCTCTCTCTCTACCTCTCTCTCTACCTCTCTCTCTACCTCTCTCTCTCTCTACCTCTCTCTCTACCTCTCTCTCTACCTCTCTCTCTCTCTACCTCTCTCTCTATTTCTCTCTATCTCTCTCAGACCGTTTGTTTCCCATTTATGTGCCCATTTTGTGATTCTTTTCTCATTTCGTCTCAGAAGGTGTTAAGTGTATCTGCACATTCGTTGTCTTACTGCAGTCGATACAGATATGTGTCTATACATTTTTCTAAACTCCTCACTCCTTTTGAATTCATCCACTTTTACGTTCATCATTTTCTTACATTTATTTTCAAGTGCATTTAACTTTCATTCCATTTCTTTGATGGTTCTCCAACTGTCGCTGGTATTCGTTACAAGTGAAATAATTTTAGAAATGACACAATGTTACAACTGAAATAATGTCAGAACTGAAAAAATATTAAAAATTAAATCATGTTAGAATTAAAATAAGGTTAGAACTGAAATAATGTTTGAATTAAAATAATATTAGAACTGAAATAATGTTAGAATTAAAATAATATTAGAACTGAAATAATGTTAGAATTAAAGATTGATAATTTGGTCTGATAACAGGATGTTTGTTAAAAAAACAAACTATTGAATACTGCTCTTCTGGTTTCAGTTGTTACGTTTGTTAAGCAATACTGCTGACATCTGTCCAATGATTTGATTTGCTTTTTTATATTTACGTCATGTGTCTGCTTCCATTTTTTCATCTGATGACAATAAGCTGCGTATTTAAGACGCTGCTTTTCTTTGCATATATTTAATGTTGTTGTGTTGTTGCAATGGTCAAAAACTATGACACACAACACATGGTAGACCAAGAACAAAATGGAAAGATAACATCAGTAAAACGCTCCAACTGCTGATATGTCTATGGTGGAGGCAATCAGAAGATCAAAAACAAGATGGAAAGATAACATCAGTGAAACGCTACAACAGCTGATATGTCTATGGTCGAAGCAATCAGAAGAGCAAGAACAAGATGAAAAGATAACATCAGTAAAACTCTACAACAGCTGATATGTCTATGGTCGAGGCAGTCAGAAGAGCAAGAAGCAGAACCTTATCTCCGTCGACACTCGAAGTGGTAAAAGAGGAAGTAATCAATCAGAAGAAGATCATATGGTGCTGTCATACGACCCATAAGACTCGCAGCCTAATGTTCGACTCCATTTTATCCTTGGCAATCGTTTCAACATCATAGATGGAAACCAAACCAGCACCATTGGCCCTTCTTTTCAAAGTTTGTTTTAGAGAATCTTCTAGACATTCTTGTTTCCTCAATCTATTTTTCCCAGTTTAGTGATTGTTTGATTATTCTCTGTGGGCTTCTTCCCAGGGCATCCCCAGTATATTGCATCTTTTGCAGTTCAAAAGCGTTGGTACCTACAGAAGATAATGCATTACATGGCATGTTTTATCTGTGTGTATTCCAACCTGTAAATGTATATACCACGGATTCAATTAAATAGACCCAATAAACAAATATGTTCAACAGAAAAAGAAACATACAAATGTAACCATTTGCGTCACAAGGATTGATTCTAAGTTGGTTTGTCTTTTGATACAGACTTCGGTCGAAATGCTCACTTGCATCTCTATATGCCAGGGGCGTGAACACAAAATAACGTTGCGAGTGGCAGGAAAGGGTGGGGAAGGAGGGGGGGGGGGGTCTAATAAGTGGTTCGCCTTACATATATTCTGAGCAAAGGGAGGCCTCAATGGGAATAACCCTAGTTTAGGTGCGTAATTGTTCTTCTTCTCTAGCCCTGTTCTGCCTTTCAGCGCCAGGTTATGAAAAACCATCAGGTGCGAGCCTTGGTATGTGCTACATAGATGCCGGTATCATTGGTCTCGGATATTCCATCTTGTGTGGTCGACCTCTGGCTGTTTCTATTGTTTCTGAGTGACAGGGCTGTCTGTGGTGAATTGTTTACTCCAATATCTTGTGCAGATTTGATCAGTTCAGTAGGAATGCTATCAAGACCGGGTGCATAATAATAATAATAATAATAATAATAATAATAATAATAATAATAATAATAATAATAATAATTTCCGGAATGACAAATAAATATAACAATACAAAATAGAAAATGAAATTGATAAAGATCATTTCTATGCATGGTGACAGGCAGACACTTAGTAACATGACGAAATTATTAGAGGGTGATCAATTCCACCCCCCCCCCCACCCCACACAGGTTTCGGTGCCTATATCTGGATGTCTTTATTCTGCCTAGTTTCCAGGCAAATTTCACATTAACTTGTCTCTGTTCTCGTGCGATCTAGTGTCATCTCTGTTCACTACTGATTGTTTCTTTAGTTATCCCAGTTTTACGTTCGTTTGTTTTTGTTCTCATTTGGATAGTTGTCATCTCTGTTCATTACATTATTTTTTGGGAACACAAATTATTTGTCAAACAAGGATCAAAGAAATTCGTCCCTTTAAGAAAACAGTAGCACCTGTGCAATGGTAAATTATACAACCAAAAGAACGAAGAAATCTGAGACAAGGTCACATGCAACAATTCGTGCTGATCCGTTTTGGAGTTTTTGAGAAATTGGTTAAAGTGAGAAAGCACGATTTTTGAAACGCATCATAGTTAAAGATTTAGCGCCTCTTAAACCGCAGCCAGATTCCGTTGTCGCTCTTCAGTATCACGGTGGCTGACCGTTGAACAGCTGCTGCGTCTGGGGCCAGCTCAACCTTGTATCTGCAATATAAAGTTAAAACGTTAGTTCCTATCCATTACTGGAGGATGCACAAACAACTCCATCATTGTCTGTTTGTTTGTGATTTCACTAGACAATGTTCACATTCAGTAGTTTGCCATTGCTTACTAAACAATCGGTTCTCGACACAAGGTCAAAGCTAACGCAAGGCTGTCTGTTGTCAAAACGCCAGCAGCTGGAATCGAATGCCTAAGCATTGACGATGTAAAGTCAATCATTTAATATCCTGATGTACCGTTACCAGAGGCATGGCAAATTTTGTTGCTATCTATAGTGTCTTCCTGCCTCTGCTTCCCTCTTCTCTTTCCACAAGGGCCGATCCTTGCTTGCAAATGTACTGGTGCTTTATTAATATCCTACCCGAAACAGGGGGAAATTCACAGGTCACGGGACAGTCTAATATTTCAGGGGGTGGTAGATAAGCTGCATGCAGTCATGGGACCTAGGCTGCACTCTCTCGTGGGACGTAGGTGGGTTGGGGTTAGGACCAGTTTTAGATGTTTTGGGGTCGTTAAAAGCATCAAAAAGCCCAGAAACCCAGCCCTACCACCCTCTAAAATGTTGGACTGTCCTGTGACTTCAGCTGGTGTAAGATATTAACAAAAAACCAATGTATTCATCTCATACTTATCGTTTGTGTGTGTGTGTTTTTTTAAACAAATGTAAAGGAGGCTTTCTGTGCCATTGTTATACCAAAGTCCTGTAACCTGAAAGACCTCGTGCTCTGTTGAAAGCACAGCCCAAAGCTATTCACTTAGCGGTCTGCGGTGGGCAAATCTGGCCCGCAGAGGCCAAACCGGTAGCCCGCAAATGATTTGCCAATTGTATTGTGTTAATGGTCTTACTATACTGGAGCTTGGGTTTCTAGCCCGCGACGTTCCCCATAATTCGGAGTCGGGAGGGGGGGGGGGTATGGGGCACAAATAAGTTTCCAGTGGGGTGCAGGTAATTTGGAAACTACGTGCATTTGTACTTGTAATCAAAACAGCACTGCCAGCTTAATGTTTGGAGTGATTAATTAATGTGCAGTTTTTTAATTAGCGAGTGGTTTTTAATTAATGTGCTGTTTTTAATCAATGTGTGCTTTTCGTGTGTCTTGAGGAGGATCGCCTCGTCTGTTTTTCTATCCTTCCGCGATATTCATTTTTATCGGAAACCACATCTTTGCCGCGATTATGTTTTTTTTTAAATATTTTTATTTTTATTTTCCTAGAAACATTTACAGTCAACTAAAAAGACTTCCGGGTCAGTAAACACGTGACATATCTAGTATCTGTGCAGGATCACGTGACATAATATAGTACCTGTGTGGGATCACGTGACATAATATAGTACCTGTGTAGGATCACGTGACATAATATAGTACCTGAAGGAACGAACGAACGAACAAACTTTATTTTCAAAGGGTTACAAATTGGACACGCGGGCCCGTCTGACATTCAGCCCTTGTAAGCACTCATTTTTCAGAGTACCAATGCCTTTTATCAATAATGCATGTTTTACCCGTTTATGATCACGTGACATAATCTAGTACCTGTGTAGGATCATGTGACATAATCTAGTACCTGTGTATGATCACGTGACATAATCAAGTACCTGTGTAGGATCACGTGACATACTTTAGTACCTGTGTGAGATCACTAGACATAATCTAGTACCTGTATAGGATCACGTGACATAATCTAGTACCTGTGTAGGATCACGTGACATAATCTAGTGCCTTAGGATCATGTGACATAATCTAGTACCTGTGTAGGATCACGTGACATAATCTAGTACCTGTGTAGGATCACGTGACATAATCTAGTACCTGTGTAGGATCACGTGACATAATCTAGTGCCTTAGGATCATGTGACATAATCTAGTACCTGTGTAGGATCACGTGACATAATCTAGTGCCTTAGGATCATGTGACTTAATCTAGTACCTGTGTAGGATCCTAGCAATGAGAACCTTCTCCTCATTGAGTGCAAAGTTCTGCCCGATACAGTTTCTAGACCCGGCTGAGAACGGAACAAACGAGAAGCTGTCAACGTCCTTCAGATTTTCTGGCAGGAATCTTTCAGGCCAGAACACATCCGGATCCTGCCAGACCAGAGAGTTTCTGTGTAGGTTGACGATAGCTGTCGTAATAAGTGTCCCCGGAGGGATGGTTTTTCCGTCTATTTCTGTTGGCTGCGTTAGTTCTCGCATAGTGAATGGCACAGGTGGGTAGAGTCTGAGGCTTTCCTTGATGCAGAGTTGGAGGGTCTGTAGGTTGGCAAGATCCGACCTGGGGAGCGATGTTCAGTTATATATGTGACTGTTCAGTGAATGTATATGTATATATAAGATTCAAATCTTATTTCGACACTTTGGTGACATATTTTTATGACAGTTATTTACAAGGAAAAGAGATACTGCTACACAAAAACAGGTTTGAAAACACAAAGACAAACACACATACACACAACATGTAACACACACATAGAAAGATAGACATAGAGAGAGAGAGAGAGAGAGAGAGAGAGAGAGAGAGAGAGAGAGAGAAAGAGAGAGAGAGAGAGAGAGAGAGAGAGAGAGAGATTAATGTCAAATCTTACCTGCAATAATGAGCCTCATACATTTTAATTCTTTCATTCTACCTTAACAGCAGACCCAAAAAAAATTTAAAAATGTATATGGTGATGGAAACGCCAATGCACAAAACACAGAGGAAAGAGGTTCAAAGTACATAAGCCTTCTTTAAGTGCTTAATAATAATAATGTACTGGATGGTAAATAAATACAATAGTATATGGCATTATAACACTGGGACCAGACATCTTTCAGAACTGTACGAGAAACTGAAAGACGTGAGCCTTGGATAGCCTGCCCGACACCCCCACCTCCCTCTTTACGCACACCCCATTTCTCTTATCGTGTATAGACAGTCTCTTGAACTTTGTAGAAAACAAAAATAATAAAACTCCTAGACTCATTCAGTCCGCTACTGGTTGAGCGGTGACTATATCAAGTCCGTATTTAATAGGTGACTCTTGGTCATTCTGATTTTGTTATGGCTTTTGGGTCAAGCATTTGTTTATATACCGTATTTTTTCAAATCATTTGATTCAGTACGCCCGTCTTTTAATATAAATTCTTATTGTTATTATTATTACATACTTCGCGAGGCTTAAACCCCTTCAGCCCCCAAGAAAATTTGTAATTGTAACCCTCATCCCACTCCTTTCAATCTGTCTTTTTCTCCAGCTCCATGTGCTTTCATAGGCAATGCGCTTGTTAATATCTTGTGTCCACTTTCGCCAAGGTCTGCCTCGCTGTCCAGAAACTCTGCCCTCAATCGCCGTTCTATTTAGGCCACTACAACAGTTATCATGGTCAAAACAGTTCAGCTGTTGGGACATGTAGGGTATTAGTATTTTTTTCTTATTTTCATCTTGAACCCTTTAAGTATACAGGTTTATTGCGAGTTAAAGAAAGGCTACATGTTGAAGGGCCCTTTGGGGGCGAGTGAACAGTGCGGAGGTACAAACAGATCATTATGGTCTGAGGAGAATGGCTCTGCGAAGAGTTACCAGGTTATTTGGTCAACGCTCGACACTCAAGGGAAAAGCGAGACGGATATACAATCAGACATTTACTGATACCATTGGAATTGGAACTTTTCGCTTGCTGCTGAAGATGGGGCAGAGCGACTAAAGTAGTGTCCCGAGTGCCCTGATGTCGATTCAACATTCAGAAAACACTAATAAACTACCATTGGATGTGGTGGGTGTCTCTGCCATGCAGCACTGCATCCAGCTCCGCCTGAACTTTGGCCTGGTACTCTGGGCTCTGTGCTAGAGTGTAGAGAATCCAGGGCACTCCTGCAGCTGTGGTGTCATGACCTGGAGACAACGATAGACGACATGTCTTCATTTTCATTTGTATCTTTCTTTATCTGATTCGATATTTGCTGGCACAAGAACTTACAGCATAAGACAATGCCAATCAGCACAAAGAGACATTTTATTCAAAGCATATTTATTCCAACTCTGTGCTACCAGTGCCAGACATGGTCACTCACAACAAACCATAAAAGAAAATTAGTAACCATGGAAATTAGATGTCTGAGAAGGGCTGTAGGAGTGACCATAAGAGATCAGATCAGGAATGAAATCATTAGAGAAAAAGTCGGCACAGAACCAATTCTAAATTATAAACGAAGACAGCAAGTGAAATGGTTTGCCGACTTAGAGAGAATGCCTTGTGACACCATACCATACAAAGCATACAGGGAAAGAGAAGAAGGACGTAGAGCAAGAGGTAGACCAAGAACAAGATGGAAGGATAATATCAGAGAAACTCTACAACAGCACGATGTGCCTATGGTCGAGGCAGCCAGAAGAGCCAGAAACAGAACCTTATATCTCCCTCGACACCCACAGCGGTAAAAGAGGAAGAGAAGAAGAAGAAGAAGAAGAAGAAGAAGAAGAAGAAGAAGAAGAAGAAGAAGAAGAAGAAGAAGAAGAAGAAGAAGAAGAAGAAGAAGAAGAAGAAGAAGAAGAAGAAGAAGAAGAAGAAGAAGAAGAAGAAGAACGGAGCAAGTGTGGGGAAAACCCGATTGCAGTGAAGCTAAAAGCTCGACTGAGACTAAGACAGTAACTGTAGTCAGGAGAAACACTCTAACACAAGAACACAGACTTTTTTTTTAAACATAATAATGTGTTTACCTGCAAACATGAATGTGTCCACTTCATTTCTAATCTCTAACGTGGTCATCGGATGTCCATCTTCGTCTCTGGCCATCAGCAGAATGTCCAGAAAGTCCAGACGGCGACCTTCTGGCTGACCCTCCTTCTCCTAAAATCCGATGATTAAAAGTTATCAGGAAAAATGTCTCCAACATCGCTGAGTTACACATCATAAAGCTAACGGATTTCAGATACCTTAGTAAGTATTCGTATTTCCCTGGGGTGGTTTTACAGTGCGTGGAAATGGCTAATGAAAGCAAAACAATACATACAACAATAAGAAGGAGACAAACAATGCTCTTTAATCATGTGATGAGAAAAGGAGCACTGTAAAATATCGTGGCAACTGGAAAAATCATTGGTAGAAGAGGCAGACCAAGAGAAACCATGGTGGATGGATTAAGACAGCAGATTGGGGAAATATCATCAGCGGAACTGATCCAGGGCAGCAAGGACCGAGATCTGTGGAGATGTATGAACGCCTACGCCAGCTGGCAAGACACTTGATGATGATGATGATGATGATGATGATGATGATGATGATGATGATGATCATGATGATGAGGATGATGATGATGATGATCATGATGATGAGGATGATGATGATGATGATGATGATGATCATGAGCAGGATGATGATGATGATGATGATGATCATGATGATGATGATGATGATGATGATGGGGCACTTTTACAGTATTTACAATCTCCTCTCCTGACCTGGGGGTCAATCATCATCATCATCATCATCATCACAGTTACGAAGTGTACATTCCCCGGCTGTAACCACCACTAACACTGGCCAGTGCAAACGAAAGATACGTTATCTTACTGGGCACGGTTACTGTTGACTACTTATTACAGATACACCACTCGATTGACGTCTTGAACATGGCGAAATGAGCGCTCGCTTCTCGCTAACGCCACTGATGCCCTAGCTCTAATGTGTGAAAAAAAGATTGTGGTTTGAACAACGGATCAACATCATGGCACACGGGTAGTTACCCATAAGCGCTCCGTTCTTCTTCTAACTCAAACCTGAGTCCGAAGAATCTCAGCGCAGTGCACCAACTCTGTTGCACTGGTGAGGATTATGAAATACTGTTTTGGGTAGATTTTTGACTCCGAAATTGTGCCCGGGCAGCGCCGTTAGGCCACTCTTTTTGATTTCCAACTGCCATGAGGTTTTTTTAACGTGCGCAACACCAGCGTCCGATCTCCCTACTCAGAGACCAGCGAAAATTACTAGAAGTCTTTGTGAACATAAAAAAATTAATCTGTAAAAGCTACCAGTTAACAGTATTATAATGCTAGCTGCACACGCATACTCTCAACAGCGAAGAGACGAAGAAGAAAATATCACGTGATATCCTCTCAGGTGTAATCGTTTTTCATTAACGGATATACATTCAAACGGATCACGCATCACTACTGCATCATCATCATCATCATCATCATCATCATCATCATCATCATCATAATCATCATCACCATCTAGTAGGTTCTGTGCCGAATGTCGCTCTGACCACGTACGCTGGCTTGGTTTACACCCAAACGCCAAATGGACAGACTTGGGATTTCTCTACTGTAAGTAGAGAGCATGTCTTTTATGTAATCTAACATATAGCATTAATCATTGGAAAATGCCAAGCCTGACATGTCTACATACAAGTACCGCTCATAGTTTCTACTCACCAGAAGCTGTCTCCGTTTGTCGATGATCTCTTCTGCCACATTGTGAACATAGTTACAGCTTTTTAAAAACCGGCGTCCACTTGGAGTTAGGTAGAAAATACAATCTGGCCAAATGTACGGAGTTCTGTAAACGATAAAGGTAAATGAATAGAGAAAGAGGGAGGAAAAGAAAGAAAATATTAGAGAGAAAATGTTAGACATGCATGAATTAAAAGGCAAAAACGGAAATAAAATAATGACAAGAAAAAACAAAAAACAGTAAAGGACAAGAAAAGAATGCAGAGAAAGATTAGAAAGATAATAATGGAGAGAAGAGAATTGAAATCACATTTAAGTAGAGATTACAGGGGAAAAAAGGGACAACATAAATGTATGCGTAAACTCAGGCTGTACAAATCGATCTAAAGAGAAAATAATAGAAGCAAATAGGGAACTACAAAGAATAGCCAGTATAGAAAAGAGAGAACACAATAAAACTACAAACAAAGGGCCCTTTCCCCCATTTTTGGGCTTATTGGGCACACAGTTCTAAACCTATATTTTTATAAACTAATCGGCACTCGATGGGTGATGTGGTCAATATCACGTGGCCACCTTTACTTCCCAGAACTTTGCCTGATACCTATTCTATGCTGGGTTTTGAAGGAAAAAAAAGTCCTGCTCCGTTCGGATTCAACACTTTTCCACCCGCAGGCGAGAGTCTAGCCGCTCCACCACGGCGGCTCCCAGAGAAAAGAATTAGGAGATAACAACATAATATTCAACATAACTGTACGTGTACGTTCCAGACTTCACAATCGATAAATACAAAGAAAATATTTAAAACAAAAGTATGAAGAAAAAGAGCAGACAGTAAAGAAAATGAGGGGGAGACAAGAGTGACACACAGAGAGAGAGAGAGAGAGAGAGAGAGAGAGAGAGAGAGAGAGAGAGAGAGAGAGAGGGGGTGGGGAATAGAGGGAGAAGTCAGTAAATAAAGCAAGTGAAAGAAGAGAAAATAAAACAAAAACGGCCACAAACTACAACCTGCTTCTAGTGCTCCAACCCTCCAACAGTTCGTTGACCGCTCGGGCATACTCCAGGTTTCTGCAACATTCAGACGGTGTGTATTTGTTTCTGATCAGTGAGTGCCCCCCCCCCCCCCCCCATCCCCTTTTCCCCAAGATCTTTTCACTCCAAAAGTGCATATCTGGCGAATTCTCCTCCTCTTCCTCCTCCTCTTCTTCTTCTTCTTCTTCTACTTCATCATCATCATCATCTTCTTCGTCCAAGTGACGTAACAGCGTTGTGCCTGTTTACAGCAACGCTGCGATATTTGCGCCTTTCAGCTGAGACATCCGACTTCATCAAGCATTTACTGACTCGGTTGACTTCCCGGGGGGGGGGGGGGGGGGGGGGGGGGGGGGGTGGGGGGGGAAGGGGGGGGGGGGGGGGGGGGGGGGGGGGGGGAGGGGGGGGGGTAAGCTATTAGACCAATAGTTCTCAACCTTCCTAATACCGCAACCCTTTAGTACGTTTCTCCATGTAGCGGTGACCACCAGCCATAAAACTATTTGCGTTGCTACTTCATAACTTTGTAATGAAATATAGGCAGAAAGGGGTTAAATGAATAAAGCATACATTTCAGACTACCATCAAGGCATACTAATCCATCACTGTGTGGCATGACAAAAATAGGTGATTAGAACGTGGCCAGACAGACCACACAGATAAACAGTAATCTTTGGGAAAGTACGTAGGAACATCTGCACGGTGACCAGAGTTGAATTGAGTGTGGTTATCATGGTAAAACCATGACATCTGACAGTGAAGGATGAAAACATTCGACAGAGTGCCCGAGAGCAACGCGATGCACGTGTCCAACTGAAGATGATAACATAGTGGACGGATGGCAGGGGGTGATTGAGAACCCACGTGGAGAGAGTAGGAAGCGTGGGGAGGGTACGATCAGGAGAGAAGGACAGTTAAAAAGGAGCCGCTGAAAAGAGAAGGACAGTTAGTACCTAGCCGCTTAAGAGAGGAGTTGAGAACACTTCGTGAGAAGATATATATTAAACTTTGAGTTGAGCTAAAAGAGTGATTAAGGAACTCATAGAGAGACATACGAAAAGCCAGTAATAAGATACTGAAGTGTTCCTATACTATTGGTTATTGAAATGATTCATTCTGTTCGACTTGACAATATTGTTAATAAACCAACTCATGTGTAATTGTTACATCACTGGCCTTGTTGTTGAGTACGATTCAAGAGAGCCACGAACAGTATCCAAAACACTATGTCCGCATTAGGCACATCCATACTTGGGGGATGTGAAGACACAACTGTGTCACAACTTCAGTGCTGTGTTTTCCGATGGTCTTAAGCGACCTATATAAAAGAGTCGTGACCCACCGGCTGCACTACAGCAATGTTTACATATAAATCGGTATTCGATGGTGACGTCATCGGCTGTCATCAATACTGAAAAACTACCCCGCTTAGTGGGAATGCCCACTGCTGTATCTAATACTTGTTTGTTCAATGACGTGTGTGTCCACGCATATGGTGACATTTCTCCTGATAAAATTTAATGATCCGATCCTAGGGGAAGGGAGTCATTTTTAAGGTCACTATCTTGACTTCCTGGACATCATGGTGTCTTAGGTGATGTCATCAACATCCCACTGACCGCCTTTACTTTCCATGAACCCGTTTTAGGCTGGGTTAACCTTGGAGTCAAGGTCAATTATGAAACATCTTTCCGTGCATGTTTGAACTCTAGACCTTCGGGTCGACAGGGAGACGTCAAGCCGCAATGTCACCACCGTAGTGTGATTAACAGGTGACCCAGTTGTTAAGACCGTCTGCGCTTCACTGAGTTTAATCCTATCTGGCTCAGTTTCTCTCGGCCGAATGACTGGCTGTTTGCCACTACTTTTGTAGCTCCAGCAACGAACTCTAAAATGATAGCACCTCCCTTTTCAGTCGTTCCTCATTTCTTTAACTTAACTAAACAGTGCGACTAGTGAGCGAAGCCACGACCACAAGAACCAGAAGCAAGCGTTTTACCAACTTCGCCATAAATAACTCCAAGATAGTTGTTTAGGGAAACACACACACGAAATTACAGTTAAACTTAACGTTAACTTACCCATGTCTCTGGACATCTATGTTGTGACTCATGTCACACACAAAAACTAATATAGACTTATCCATGTTCTCTGAGCGTTTACATTGTAGGTCATTATACAGATAAACTAAGCAATTACTTATCACTGGACATCGACGTTGTAACGCATGACACATGTAAACTAAACACGAGCTTACCCTTGTCTCTAGACATCGACGTTGTAACGCATGACACATGTAAACTAAACACGAGCTTACCCTTGTCTCTAGACATCGACGTTGTAACGCATGACACACATAAGCTAAACACGAACTTACCCTTGTCTCTAGACATCGACGTTGTAACGCATGACACATATAAACTAAACACGAAGTTACCCTTGTATCTAGACATCGACGTTGTAACGCATGACACATATAAACTAAACACGAGCTTACCCTTGTCTCTAGACATCGACGTTGTAACGCATGACACATATAAACTAAACACGAGCTTACCCTTGTCTCTAGACAGTGACGTTGTAACGCATGACACACATAAGCTAAACACGAGCTTACCCTTGTCTCTAGACATCGACGTTGTAACGCATGACACATATAAACTAAACACGAAGTTACCCTTGTATCTAGACATCGACGTTGTAACGCATGACACATATACTAAACACGAGCTTACCCTTGTCTCTAGACATCGACGTTGTAACGCATGACACATATAAACTAAACACGAGCTTACCCTTGTCTCTAGACAGTGACGTTGTAACGCATGACACATATAAACTAAACACGAGCTTACCCTTGTCTCTAGACAGTGACGTTGTAACGCATGACACATATAAACTAAACACGAACTTACCCTTGTCTCTAGACATCGACGTTGTAACGCATGACACATATAAACTAAACACGAGTTTACCCTTGTCTCTAGACATCGACGTTGTAACGCATGACACATATAAACTAAACACGAGCTTACCCTTGTCTCTGGACATCGACGTTGTAACGCATGACACATATAAACTAAACACAAAGTTACCCTTGTCTCTAGACATCGACGTTGTAACGCATGACACATATAAACTAAACACGAGCTTACCCTTGTCTCTAGACATCGACGTTGTAACGCATGACACATATAAACTAAACACGAGCTTAACCTTGTCTCTAGACATCGACGTTGTAACGCATGACACATATAAACTAAACACGAGCTTACCCTTGTCTCTAGACAGTGACGTTGTAACGCATGACACATATAAACTAAACACGAACTTACCCTTGTCTCTGGACATCGACGTTGTAACGCATGACACATATAAACTAAACACGAACTTACCCTTGTCTCTAGACATCGACGTTGTAACGCATGACACATATAAACTAAACACGAACTTACCCTTGTCTCTGGACATCGACGTCATAGCTCATGGCGCATTTGAGTATGATCTCCAAGGTACACAAAGTGATCATCGGGCAGACGTCAAAGCTTTCACCGGAGTCTGCCAGTTTGTCTAACTTCTCCTGCAACATAAGAGACATGGGTCATTTAATACAGTCTGGAAGTGGACGTGTCATTCACATTCTCAAGATATTTCACAAACATTACACACGTCTTCTTGTTCTGCCAGGTCCCCTCAGAATGGAACATAATCCTGCATACAGCTTACGTTATGTTGGCTTTTAGCGCTGAAGTTTTTTACGGGACAGGTAGGCGGCCTGAGATTAAATCTATGTAACAAACCTCTTACGACATGCTTGATAGAATGCTGTATTACCATTTTTTGTCCTTTCCCTAAGGACCATTCCAACTGCCCGGATAACTCTACTCCGATTGGTGGAAGTCAATGTCTGAGTTCAGACAACACGAACTCCAATCTATCGATGGTAGAATTACCTCAGGGTCTTACCATGACATTCTCTAGATTGGCCAAGTAGCTGTCCCGACCAGCTGTAAAACGTGGGCTGAAAAAAGGTGTATAGCTTTTCGGAGTGAAGTGAATAGTGGAACTGCGATGTTTACGTGTGTGATTACTTTACTTTTGCATTTACATTTTTGAAATATGCTGTTGTGAAGTGGTAAGTGTTATTAACTATGCCTCTACCTAAGTGTAGATCAATGTGTGACACTTTAAGTGGTATATGTAATGCTCAGTTAAGAGAAAGATGGCTGAAATTAGTTCCAAGGAAAGTTCCTTCGAAGTCGGAGTGCATTAGACAAGGAACTAGCAATCTGCATACAAATGAGTCAGATCTGTAAAACGGATGCACACGCAACACTCGGGTTCTGGAACAAGACTTCTTCTTCTTCACTTCCTCTTTTACCGCTGTGGATGTCGAGGGAGATATAAGGTTCTGTTTCTAGCTCTTCTGGCTGCCTCGACCATAGGCACATCGTACTGTTGTAGAGTTTCTCTGATGTTATCCTTCCATCTTGTTCTTGGTCTACCCCGTGCTCTACGTCCTTCTTCTCTTCCCATGTATGCTTTGTATGGTATGGTGTCACAAGGCATTCTCTCTAAGTGGGAAAACCATTTCACTTGTTGTCTTTGTATGTAATCCAGAATTGGTTCTGTGCCGACTTGTTCTCTTATGATCTCATTTCTGATCTTATCTCTTATGGTCACTCCTACAGCCCTTCTCAGA